CCCCCCCCCCCCTTGGGGTTTTTCCCCTTCTTCTTTTTATTCTTTTTTTTGGGATGGGGGGGGGGGTGTTTCCCCGGGTGGTTGTTTTTGGGCGTTTTTTTCCATCCCCCCTTGGGGCCCGGCCCCTTGACCCTGGGCCCGTTTGGGGGGGCCCGCCAGGGGGCCTCCGGGGAGGGGGAAGGGGGGGGTCCCCCCTTTCCCGGAGGGATTTGGGAAAAAAAATTCCCGGGGCCGAACCCCCAGAAGGGGGTGTTTGGGTTTGGTTTTCCAGGGGGGGGGGGGGTAAAAAGGGGGGAACCGGGGGAGGGGGGGGGGGGGGGGGCTTATTTTTATTTTTGGCATCCTTTAGGGGTTAGATCATGGCCCAGGCTTCCTGGAGAGGAGGGACCATTTTTCCCACGGGATGGTTCACGGAGGCCCATTCTTTTTTTCTTATTTCCCAAAAGGGGGTTAAAAAATGATATTTTTAGTGGATTTTTCCTATGGATATCATTCCACCCTTTTTCAACCCATTTCTTATCCCCCGGTACAGTTCCGGGTTTTTCGGGGGGGGGGGGGGGGGCAGCGCATGTCTTACGGTCCGTTGATCCATACAAGAGCACGCCTTCGAAGCTATACCGCTATCTTACCAAAAGCAAAACAACAAAACGATAGGGGGGGTGTAATAACGCACACAGGTACCGGTAAACAAGCAAAAAAATACCTTCGCCGCGCCATGCCAATGCCAATTCAATTGCCTCACGGAGGGCGGTTGCAGTCAACGCGCCGATACCCACACCACCACGGCATGTCGCTACAATACTATGATTCTAACTTCCCTACAACCAAGACGATCATGCTCCGAACTCCACCATCAAACCAAACAATCTCCTCCCTCGTCCCTCCTTCCACACCTCCATGGCACCGATGCCACCGTACCCGGACAAATCGAACCGTTGCGCCGCCCGCGCCGTGTCCACCTGAACCGTAACACGCGTTGGACAAAAGAAAGGTGCGGGGAACGTTCGTTAGATGAAAAAAGGGACATCAGAAGCTGAATCCATTGAAACTGGAGAAAAACGACCATCAAAACGAACGCACCTCGGCATCAGCGGCGTGGGCTTCGGCCAGCGGCTTCGAGACATTCTTCGAGACGCTGCACAATACCTGACGAATAAACAGGACGCTTGAAAATAATGTGTCTCCGAAACTAGGCGACCCATTGTCCGTCTCCGGCCACCATTCCATATACTGCCCCCCCCACCCAAGATTATCACACCAAGGTCATCTACTCTGTCGACCTCCCCGAAGGCCATCGGCGAACAACCTTCTACATGTACCTTCCTCCTCTGCAACCAACGGCGACTTCTGCCCTTGGTACAGGGGACAGCACCAACCTGGCCGGCAAGGCCCACAATATTGCACTCGCCTCCCGTTCTAGATTTGTACCTACAGGTGATCATTCAGGCCCGCTATCAAGACAAATACGCCCCTCCTTCTATTCTAAAAAACCGGAAAACCTTCGTGCCTCCCACACTATACAAAGCAACCCATTGCTGTCTCCCGTGGCCATCCACTGCTCCTCCTCCCTTCTATACCAAATATATATACCCGGAACAACATTCGTACCTCCCACACTACATCTACAAAGATACACTATATCTACAAAGATACACTATATCTACAAAGATACACTATATCTACAAAGATACACTATATCTACAAAGATACACTATATCTACAAAGATACACTATATCTACAAAGATACACTATATCTACAAAGATACACTATATCTACAAAGATACACTATACCTACAAAGATACACTATCTCTACAAAGATACAGAGCTTGCCGTCTCAACTGTGTCCACCCGCTGCTCCTCCCCCCTTCCATGCAAATATACCTGGAAACTCTTCGTACCTCCCACACAATAAGCAACCCGTTGTCGTCCCCAGTCGCCATCCACTGCCCGTCTCCGCTGCACGCGATGCACCGGACGCTCGCCGCATGCCCCTTGTACTCTACGCACAGGGCGTTCGGGAAGGGTTTGAGCTCTCTCGGTCGCGGCAGGCGAGGAACCAGTGACTCCGGGTCGATGTTGAGACGCCGCTTGAAGGCCCGCGGACAGAGGTAGAGGTCCAGGCATCGCTCGAAGCGTTCCTTGACGAACCCCCCGTAAGCACCGACCTGTTTAAGACAGCAAAAGTAACATATTCTTAACGCAATCACCGACCTGTTCAAGGCAACACAAAACGTGTTCTTGTACCACTTTTGAATAAAATTGGTAATCTATCCTGGACTCTTTTTTTTATCTGTGAATAGAGATGGACTGGTTTTGGTTATTGTTGCAAGAAAAAAAAAGGAACGATATGAGGGTGTCCAAAGCGATTGTCGTGGAAGGTAGGTGGTGATGAGATGAGGATGAGGAAAGGCGTTGTCACCGTATACGACACAAGATAACACACCCCCTGGGGCGATTTTCAAAGCGCGATTTCTCAACACCACAAAGAGTGGGGGTGCCGAAAACGGCGGCGTTAAGGCCTTCTGGTCGAGAGAGAGCTCTCCGAATTTTTTCTGTGTCGTTTGTGCATCCTCTTGGTCGTGGAGTAATCGAGCTTTGAAAATCGGTTCAGGGGGTGTGACATCTTGTGTCGTATACGGTAGTCTG